CTCCTGAAATAAAACATTAAAAAATCCAGAAACAAGATGCAAACGGCTCCTTATTGTTGCCCAGAAAATCATTTGGACTCATCCACAAAGGCAATTAATCAACTCAAGGAAAAATTATTAAGACTTACAATAAAAATTAATCAGAGGCCAGTAAGCTCCAGTGCTACTACGCTATCTCGGGGAAACTAGAGCACCTTAACCCAAAGCTATAGCTCTGATTTATTATGGAATATTAAAATGTTATCCAGAACTATTGCTCTTAAAAATGTGTTGTTTCTTACTATTTAATTTAGATCTATTGAAAAGCAGGCCATTGAACCAAATGGTTTTCATCATCCATTCAATTATTGGCTATGATAGCATGTGACAAAAAAAAAAAATAAGTCATGTGAGGAGGACAAAATTAAAAATGCTTAGACTAGAAGAGAAAAATAAAAGAGGGATACAGTAGCATTTTTCGGATACATGGAAAGGAAACAACACAGAAGAAGTACAATACCTGTTGTTTCTTGTTCCATTGTGCAGAATAATGGACTTGTTGTAAATTCCAACATGGTGGATTCTACTGAAAGAGTCAGTTTGGACATGACAGTATCTGAAAACAGCAGAGTAGAAGACAAAGAACTGGAGAAAAATCACAAAATATTCTGACCAGCAAATAGAAGTTGAACCGTGGCAAAAGAAAGCAAAGTTAATACCGATTGTAATAGTGTTATCTAACTTGGAAGGCTGCATCCATCTCTGGGATTTCAAGATTTCTGTCTTGAGCTAATCCCCCCTTCCTCTCTCAGAATTACAGATGGCATAGACTCTTAGATTGGGATTGGGAAAAGGATTCCAATCCAATCAGACCATTCCTCCAACACAGACTGATTATTTCTGAGTCAAGTTCTACATTTAAGACTAGACTATACATCTAGTTAATGAGTACTTTTATTTGGGTCTTTTTTTAATCAATAGAAGAGAATATATTTAGCTCAGGATTGTTAATTGGATAATAAAACATCTACAAGCAAACAGCTCAGAAAGTACCAAGGTTCTTTATTGAATATGGAGCTTCTTTAGTTCTTCAGTTCTTTACTGAATATGGAGCTTCTTAGAAAAGAAAGAAAAGAATCTCCAACTTTTCTATATTCAGGAATGTTGAGTAGACTAAGGTCAAAAGAAGATGTTGAGTTATTATATTATTTGGATGAAATTTCTGTACTTGCTTAGCACTGATGATGTTACCTAGCTTAAGTAAAAATTCCAATATACTTTTGATCATGCTGCAGATAATAATAGCTGAGGACAGAGAGAAGCCTGGCCAGAGCTTTCTTTCTCCTTCTATAATCTTTTATGCTGAACAGTTCTTGGTTAGCTTAAGCCACTCTTTGATATCTTCAGCTTCCTTGTTTTCTTGAAAATATAGACTAGTTTAAGGTGTTGCATGATACTCCATATACAGTAGCCATTTGGATATGTGGTTGTGGTACAAGAGATTCATGATGGAGTCAAAGATAAAACAGATTCGTTACTAAATGATGTAGATGTGTATATTGATATATCTCATTTTCCCATTATGATGTGGAATGGCAATAACACATAGACATATACAGATTCACCATGCTTTACAGCCCTCTCTAAGCAGTTTACAGAGTCAGCATATTGCCCCCAACAATCTGGGTCCTCATTTTATTGAACTGCTGACAGCTGGAAGTCAGCAGAAGTAACCTGCAGTACTACATTCTAAGCACTGTGCCACCACAGCTCCACCATGCAAAGGTTTTGAATGCACCTCTGTAATATCATACCAAGAAATAACTGTGCTGAAAAACTTCATTATCACTGTTAAGTCCGGGAGATCGGTCCCGGGTAGATTAGGTCGCATAGAGAGGTGAGACTCAAAGTGCACATTCAGCTCTTTATTGAATATACAGTTAGGTCCAGGACCTGCGAGCCGCTTGGCTTTATTCAGCCGGCTGGCGGCTCGGCGGCCAATGGCAGCGCTTTGAATTTCCTGTGATCGGCTCGGCCAATCGCGGTAGATTTTTAGCGTACCAATCACAGTTGTTTAGTTAACCAATCGGGTTGCAGTCCGTGTGGACCAGTCAGAACTCAGGATTTGGAGAATGTTAATATAGAACAATCACCATCTTTTTTCTGATCATTCTTGCTCTTGAATTCTCTTTTGTAGTGCAGTTTGTAGAGCTTTGGGTTTTTTCATCTTTTTTCAAGGGAATCCTCTCCTGGCTACAATCAGAGAGAAGAAACATTTCCTGGGGTTCCTCTGTTAAAGCAAAAGTTTGAAAAAAAGTTCACAGAAGAGCAACTAAGATGATCAAAGGCCTGGAAAGCAAACCATATGCAGTATAGCTTCAGGTTTGGAGTCTGGCTAGTCTAAAGAAAAGAAGAATTAGGGGTGACATGATAACAGTATTCCAGTATTTGAGGGGCTGCCGCAAAGAAGAGTTGGTCAAATTATTCTCCAAAGCACCAGAGGGCAGGACAAGAAACAATGGATGGAAACTGATCAAGGACAGAAGCAACCTGGAATTAAGGAGAAACTTCCTAACAGTGAAGACAATTAACCAGTGGAACAGCTTGCCTTCAGAAATCATGGGCACTCCATCACTGGAGGTTTTTAAGAAGAGACAAAACAGTCAACTTATCTGAAATGGTATAGGTTCTCCTGCTGAAGCAGGGGGCTGGACTAGAAGACCTCCAAGGTCCCTTCCAGCTCTATTCTGTTCTAAGCAAATGAACACAACACTGTTTTCTTTGCTTTTTCCCTGCCACTTATATGGGAACAAATATCTTACTTGCCAGATCAGGGATAGTATGCCTCTAAATACTAGTCATGAAGGGAAATCATTGTTCTTCTGCTCACAATTTGCTCACAAATATTGACACCTCCGCCCATTTTCTTAGTTATAAAAGGCAAGACTTTGGTGGAGTTCTGCCACACAAGGGCTTTCTCTTTGTGCCTCTGGAGAGGCTTGACTGCATTTGTTGGAAACCGCAATGGGTGGCGGGGGGAACTACTTCCGGAAAAAGAATCACCTTCCAACTCCACAAGGTCTGCAACTGGCCCTTCTTCAATGGTTTTCGTTTGGGATATGGTAGACCTGCAGTCGGTTCACCTACACGGAAAGTAATGTGCAATTTGTTTGAAGCTATCACCATTGATGCAAGCATGGGCCTCTGCAGAAGGGACGTAAGAAGTAGTCTGCATCATGACATCATGACCTATATGCTACAACTTACATATCTGCCTCAAGCATGTATCTTCTTCGTACACAAAATGTACTTATGGAATATTACTTCGTGGCATATTTTGCAACACTTGCATCTCTCTCTTTTTCTTTGGTCAAAAAGGGGAAACAACTTACCATGAAATGTTTTAGTATTTATTTGATCTGCTAAAAGACAGAATCATGTGTCTCGAGAGTCACAGATAGAGTACTATTCATGATCCAAGAAAGAAAAGACTCCAAGGTTCCTTCCAGATAGATCTTTTAATGTACATTGGCAGCAAGTTGTGATGGTTATTTCACTGGGCATCGTGATGACATAGTTATCCATTACATATCTAATCCCATTATAAATCTTTTGGCTCCATTCCTTTCCCTTAGCTAATGAAGATTTCATTTACATACTAGGACCCAGAGCAAATGCCATTGTCAAGGATATCTGTCAGGGTTCCGGCAGTTATTCCAATTAAATCATGAGCCTTGAGCCTTACTCCCAAAACTAAAGAGGATTTATTTGAAGGTAAAATTCTATGTCCGGCACTAACCTGGGCGTAGCCAACTCTGAGATACATAATTCATTGTCACCCTTGATCCTGCTTTCCCCCCCCACCCCACCCCTCTGGGTGTATCATCCAACAAAAAACGTCCATAGCCAAGAGTCATCAATCATGCTCTCCAATTAGATTTTTTCGGGCAGAAGCTTCAGCCATATAATTAGTCTTTGCAGAAAATATGAATGGAATGTACTTTCGATTCCACACTGCTGCCTGCTCTTTGAAACTCCCCCCCCCTTCTTTCTGTTGTCAACTATAAACCGTGTATACAAAATATTTTATGAGTTGACAATACCAATATCCCGTAGCATTTCTGAACAATTCTGGATAAAGATCAACTGGAGCAATGGTAGAACTGATATGTGTTGGCAGTGAATTATGTAAATTTCAGTTAGAGACAGTACGTTGCTGACTGACTGACTGAATTCTTTATTGGCCAAGTGTGATTACACACAGAAGGAATTTGTCTTGGTGCAGATGTCTCAGTGTACTGCCACAATACTCACATTTGCTCTTTGCAGTTACTCTTCCTTCCCCCTGGAGTTATCAAACACTAGAAGAACTGAGAATTCTGGATAAAGAAAATCTGTTCTTCTATAATATACATGCAGAATCTGATTTGCTCAAGTGAGTGGACATAAATACAGGTGGTCCTCGACTTATAACCACAATTGAGCCCCAAATTTCTGTTGTTAAGTGAGACATTTAAATGAGTTTTGCCCCTGTTTATTACCTTTCTTGTCCCAGTTGTTAAGTGAATCATTGCAGTTGATAAGTTAGTAACCCAGTTGTTAAATGAATCTGGTTTCCCCATTGACTTTGCTTCTCAGAAGGTGGTGAAAAATGTGACCTTGGGACATTGCAACCATCATAAGCATGAACCAGCTGCCAAGCATCTGAATTTTGATCATGTGACTATGGGGACATTGCAAAGGTTGTACCTTTGAAAAATGGTCATAAGTCACATTTTTCAGTGCTGTTGTAACTTTGAATGGTCACTTAATGACTTGTGAAGTCAAGGGCTACCGATATTATAGGACATGTTTTTTGCAATAAGACATTTACCAAGAATGAAGGATGTGGATGATACCTTAGAATCTCCCAAACAAAAAAAGTAGGAAAGCAATCTCATAATATGAAATATTTATGACAGTCAAGAAGAACCGGAATTTCAAACTTCCAAAATAAATATTTATTTATTGAAGAACAAGATTGAACAATCACTTTAACCAGTGAATGAAATGCAAAAATTGACTGTGGAGTGCAGTGTGGATGTCACTATCAACAACTATTAGCCTAAAAACATTTAGAGTCAGTCTTTTCGGCTGGAAATCAAAAAGCAAATTTTGCCTTTTTTAATAATTGGAGAAGTTAGAATTAATTACTTTAGAACAACTTTTCATATCACATATGTGTTATACATCTTTTTCATTCCTATTCTTTTGTTGACCTAGAATTCTGATTAAGGAATCTAAGACAGATCTTTGGTATGAGGAGTGCAAAAAAATCTGCAGGAAATTAAAATAAACACTACCATTGGATGCTGTGGTTTGCCAATATTGTTGCAAACACCTTAATTCCCTCTGAATGCCTAAAGCAGTGAAATAATCCAGTCTGCTATTTCTCCTGTCCTTCAAAAAACAGTAAAACTAAATTCTCATAAATTAAAGCATGCTGGAATGACATGATTTCTGCTTCACACAACAAATTGGAGGCAAGGATTGTTTAACTTGGGAAAGCAGAATGGATGGTACACAAGGCTTAAGAGACCAATAGATAAGGTGCTTTCATCTAACTATGACAATGACAGCATTTTGGCAATTCAATAAATTTTTATTTTTAGGGGGGGAAACAACAGTTTTAGGTGGCCCACATTGAGATTCAGGCCCTATGTGGAGATAAAGCTGCTGTGTACTAAAGCGGTGTTGGTAGCTGTCCATCACCAGTTGAGTGCTTGATGCTCCCATTCAAGGTAGTAGCCTTGAAAGTAAAGGACCTCCCCCGAATTGAACCCTCTGCATAGAGCCTCTCTGGTTTTTTCTGACAACGGAAGAACATAAGGAATCCATTGCGGTAGTTCTTATTCATCCAGCCATAGAGCAAGGGGTTTGCAAAAGTGGAACACATGGCTATGACATGAAATACCGTATAAAGAAGTTTATAATCATGGAGGGCAAGTGCCATATCTAGGTCTGCGGCAAGCTGGAAAGCATGGAACGGTAGCCAAGACACAGCGAACACCACAACGACCATGAAAAGCATCTTTGTGGTCTTTTTCCTGCGAGAGTGAGTGTCATTTCTAGCAGAAGGACTGATGTGGCTTTTCAGTTTGAACCATATCCTGATGTAGGCATAACAGATGATAAAAAGAGGGAAGACATATTGCAGGATGAGCATGGATAAGCTGTATATAGTGGCATCTCTGTTGTCCGAAGGCCATTTCTCCGAGCAGACAGCTATTCTGAGTTCGATGGATGGAATTTCTTCATATCTGTATTCTCGAAAGATAGCCAGTGGACTAGCTAGGAGAGCAGCAACCAGCCATGTAATCGCTATGATGGTGAAGCTGATCTTCTTTGATATTCTACTGTCTAGATGAAAAACAATACATCTGTACCTATCGAGGGCAATCACGGTTAAGGTGAGAATAGATACATGAACACTTAAAGCTTGAGCAGAGGACACCAAGTGACAAAGGACAGCCCCAAATTTCCACTCATCCAATAGAGTGTAAGCCAATGTAAAGGGCAAGCAAGTATCCACCATTAAGTCAGCCAGAGCTAAGTTAGCTATGAAAAAGTTGGTTACAGTCCTCATGGTTTTGTATCTCACTATCATGTAGATGACCAAGGAGTTGCCAATGAATCCCAGCAGAATGATGAGAGAATAAGCCATTATCAGTATGATTTGGACCCCCAGGATCTTGGTGCTGTCCATCATAACTTCACTGGATGCGTATGGAAACCCTTGACTGGGGGTGACAACACTGTCTGCATGCCAGTGAGGCAGTGATTTCTTCTCTAAGATACGTTCTTCCAACATGACGGTGCTATTGACTTGATCAAGCAACCCCATGCCTATTTTTTGTATTTATATAGGCCCTGGGTTGACAGTATTATGCTTGTATGTTTGTCTGCAGAAAAAGAAACAAATATAAGATTGAAAAAGATGATATTTAAAGACTTTAGTTTATCATCAAGTATGTACAATATTTCAAATTAAGCTCTAAATTTCTGCAATCCTTGTGCACATTAAAATGATTAATATTTGGTTTTCATGCATGGTTAAATGAAATACCTGCAAGAAAAAAAAATAGCCTCTGTAGATCCCACTATATCTGCATGATAAAATTAAAGCCAAGCAAAGAGCAAAAAAGTTTGACCCTGATTAAATTCACATTATTTTTCACAAAAGATGCTTTTTCTCTTTGCAATTCTATTTATCTAAAATGGAATGGGTTAAAAAAAATAATCCTTCCAAATGTCATGCTAATATCATCATACAAACCAGATCACCAGTTTGGCTATTAGCAATTGCTTGTGATTGGTCTACAATCTGCCTTTGTGCTCTCTCGTGACCTTGCCTCTGCTTGTCAGAGTAATTCTATTTGCATGAAGAATGGCAAGGAAAGTCAAAATATAAATTAGCAATGAACTAGAAATACAATAAACTCTGCAACTGTTTTGTTCATCAGTATATTTAAGGCTTCAGTTCTGTGCCCATATAATTGGATACAAGGATGGGATTGAGTGAGCAACATCCTCCACTAAAGACTAACTGGACAACATTTTAGCAGTTTTTGATCCAAGGGATATTAAGCAACAATAGGAACCATTTTTTAATAGTCTTCATAATACTTCCAGCAAGCCATTTTGCATAGGCTAACATAGATATTTAGGAGCTGTTGCTGTTGGAGAACAACCATCCCAGTTGGGAAATGGCCTCAAGAGAGGAATCAACCTGGACTTGCTATGTAAATAAAAGATTAGATATGACCCTCCTTAAATGCCTTAGAGTAGGAGTCCCCAACCCCCAGTCCATAGACCAGCACTGGTCCATGGCATGCTAGAAACCAGGCTGCGTAAATAAGTGAAGCCCCATCCACAGGATGCAGGGAGCACATGAAACCAACCCCCTCTGGTTCATGGAACAATATCTCTCCACGGAACTGGTCCCTGGTGCCCAAAAAGTTGGGGGCCTTAGAGCCTTATGTGGTTGTTGCCAGATGGTCCACAGGTTGTAATGTGGAGCCCAGAATTCCCAGCATGGTAGTAAAACAAAAATATTTTTTTTATTTGGAAAGGTTTGGCAAGTTAAAGGTAAGGTGCTGTAAGACCCACAAATGATCACTTTACTCTATAAATAAGCAAACTATTTTTTGGCTTAGTCAGTTGTATTGTCCCAGTCTATATTAGGGAAATTTTTAAAGATAACTCTGCATGAATGTTACTGTTTTTCCTGCCATCTGCTAAGTCCTATGAGCTCACCATAAGGGACAAGAAATCAGAGATGGAATTGTTCTGCTCAAATAAGCATACATAAGAGCAGTCTTAAGTGAAGACTGGCCATACTATGAGACTGAATGAAGCAATTGCTTAAGGCAGTCAATGTTGGGAAAGATGAATGGTGCCTCCCAATGGCTCCTGTTGGTCTTCTAGGAGGTTCTGTTGGATAAAAGATTGTACAGTGTGTACACTCCCTGAGTCCCTAAATAGATATAGCAAAATAGATTATTCAGTTGATAGTCCAGATGACTTTTGTATATGGAGTGAGAGAAACCGGCATGTTTATACCTTGGGTAAAAGACAATGAATGTCTTAAGCCATTCCCCGAGAAAGATAAAATATTCACTATAAGAGAGATGATAAATATAAGAGCCCTTATGTCTCCTTGTTGTGACTTCTGGAATCCTTACTACACACTGTATGATTTACTCAATCCTTTTCAAGGTTCTTAAGGCAAAATAACAAAACTGACTCATCCATGCTTGTCAGTGTGTCACAGCTGGGCTTCATATATGTATGTAGCAGAAGAAATATAGATTATAAATTTATGCCTTAAACCTTTAAGAATATTTTGCCAAAGCCATAGGGGGGGAAATCAGAATCACAGCCTTTTAGTCAGTTTGATCATTATGCCCCCTTCACTGATTTGTTTCTTCATTTCCAGCCCTGGATCACAAATAGTTTAGACACATGTGATTAATCTCTTGGATCTATGAAGGTTTTCTTCTTGGTTTGAAAGCAAGCATGCCCAATTATTTTGCAGAACAAAGTTCATAACCCCTCTTGGGAGCTCCAACAGAAATTTGGACAGCTTGGTTGGAAACCTCTGTTGCTTGAGATGTTTGGCGATGAGTGGGAAGAAGGGCCTGGTTAGATTGGTCTCAGCTACTTCCTCCCCTTCTCGGTTGTGTGCTAGTGTGCATGCATGTAAATATTTTACCAGCTCTTTGAGGCTGACACCTTGGAATTAAATTAAAACAATGAGCTTGGCAGCAGGCTCACTGAAATTAATCTGTCTGTATGATACTCCAGATAGAATACTTGTTGCTTTATCTTCTTCACTGCTGTTCCAAACATTTGTTATGTTTCATGTCTCCCTTAAGCCGTAGATGTCATGTTGACCCAGGATTTTCTTTATGAGTTTCTAGAACTGTATAGAATTGGTGAGATGTAAGATGGACATAGTTTAGCCTAAGTTTTCAGATGCTACCACATTGTTTGTGCAATTTATCTTCAAAGTTACACAATTAGGATTATCATTATCATGTTTGATTCTTGGTATGACTGATGTTTCTTGCTGTTTTTTCTCCCTTTTTCCCCCTGTGCTGGAATCTATAGCCTAAATCATAAAACAAGGTGAATAAAGGGTGGTAATTGAACTCCCTTCCTGCTTTTTCCATGTTGTGCATGAAGCAGTTACATATACAAATCAAATTATAGTAGCAACAGCAGATCAGATCAGTTGATCATACTGAACTTTTATACTTTTATTTTCAATACTCTTACTTCTTCCAACTCAAGTTAAACAATAGATTTGAAAATAATAACAAGCTTCATTTTAGCAATAATAGGTCTGAATAAACTCTGTTTACTTCTGCCAGTAGTTATTTAATCCCAATTTGCATTTTCATTGAGAATTCAAGAAGGAAAAATATTGCAGTTCCAAATTAAAATAATCCTTGGCCAGCTACATTGACACAGATGAGAAGTTCCATTTAGGTTTGAACTGGCATAAATATTCATGTAAGCTGCATGTTCAAATATCAGTTCACACAAAATATCAAACATATTGTATAGTTTCTTTTGTGCAAGCCCACGAGAGCATTTTCTTTTAAAATTGTCATTTTATACCCAGTTTCTCTCATTTCTTTTAAATGGATTCAAATTAGTAAGGGCTATCCGGCAGGTTGTTTGATAAACTGTTATCTAAATATTTTACTCCACCCCAAATAACTTCTGGCCAATGGCACAATGTCTAAAAAGCAGCCCAACAGCCACTTATATAGCATAGAGGGATTTTAAAAATAGTCTAATTAATTAATTAATTAACAATGCCAATAATTATTGCAATGCTATTTCAGTCTGATCAAAGGCAATTGCAATGCTTTGGATTGTTCAGAGTCATATCATTAAGTTCTATCTAACCAAGAGCAATGTCATATTTCTGAAATGTTCATAGCCAGTCCCCACTTTCTGCTGGGTTACACAACGCCACCTCTAGCATTCATTTTGTTTTGTAAGAATGAAGCAATGGCAATGCAGATTCACTGTCTGAGCCAGACAGAAATATTTATTGCAGTGTCTTGACCAAGTCCAATAGTCATTAAATCCCTAAGAGACTATTACTTTTTTTAACCTGATAAACAATTGGAGAGTTTTTCATGTATCTGTCCCATTCCCCCCACCCCCGCAATTAGAATAATAATTAAGCAGTATTGCTCCAGACAGTTAAGATAAAGTTGAATGAGTGGTAGACAAAATGCAAGACTTGGGCTGAGAATTATGTGAAATCAAATTGCTGCTGAGTTATAATTTGAACATGGGACAAGTTCTTGGGGTACACAAGCAAGCATGCTTTCAGCCTTCCCCCCCACTCCACAAGTCTTAAATTAACACCAGAAAAAAAAGCCCGTGTCTTGCTTATTTCAACTGGCATTAAACATAATGTGTTTATTATTTTTGCTCTGCATCTTGAGTCTCTGTGATTTGTGTTTAATCAGAGCTAGATCCTGGTTTGTGCCAAAGGAATGGTCACCCCTTAAGTATCAGAAGGATTATAAATATATCCATCCAGGGTAATACAAGAGGAGGGGTTGAATGTCCAAAATTTTGCAGATTGCATTTCCAGATGGGGAGATTATAATTATTCTATTCTGCATTATTTACCCAATCAGTTACTTATTCAGATAAGCTTGTTTTGATTGTATATTAGGTAAAATCACGAAATCTGGGCTGCACAAATTTGAATGACCAGTCAATGGCAGCAAATCATTGGGAGTTTTGCAATTCAAACCTGTTAGGCCTAATAGTAGGGAGAATTGGCGTTGTTGGTTTTTTTAAATAAAGCTGTAAATAATTTGTATAAATGGAATATTGCTATCAGTTTTAAAGGCCATTTTCACACAACAGTGTAGTTGTTAGGCCCCAAAGACATAAAGAGAAAGTCTCTGGGTATAGTTAGGATTGGATCTTTTTCTTTCCTTCCAATTCCAATCAGATGAAAACAGCATATATATGAGCTGGAAAACGTTGAGTGACTGTTTCCTGATAAGCTGTCTTACAGAATTAAATTGTTTGGCTTCAGTGTATTCTGTATATCTTCAAAATAATTTAACTCAATTTCCAGGTTACAAGTGCTGTGTAAATACAATTTAAGCTTGTCTTCTGACAAATTGATGTTTTTTTATTGATCATGCCCATTAGGAATTGTGACTTTGCTGTGTGCTGTCAAATTTCCAAATGCACTCCCACATTTGGAAAAAAAAAAAACACTTTTCTATCCCTATCCAGAAAGGTCCTTCCAGAAAGGTCCTTTGAGTTATCCCATCTTATGATATTTAATTGAAACCTACACTTTTCTTTCTGCTTCCTGCATGGAGACAAAATTACAAGTGAAAATTTAATGTCA